ATCAGAACAAGATAAGGAGCATTACTGTCTGACCTAGAAACTGGGATTTTTGAAGGCCACGATCCAAAAAGGATGATATTTCGGGGGGGGGGAGGGAGCGTAGGGAAAGGAGAGGCTTTTGAACCCAGCACTCTGTTTCCCATCCCCAGATCCTGCTGATCGCGTTCCTGAAGGTGATTGACGAAGGCAGCCACATGGTGATGCTGGAGTGTCCGGAGACGGTGAACACACTCCTCCACGAGTTCCTGCTCTGGGAGCCTGAAGCCAACCTGGCCGGGGAGGTGCCCGAAGCGGAGAAGAAATAAAGCAAGAAAGCCCCGAACGAGCAAGTGAATGAACGAGAGGCCTGCTTGCATCGCGGCTTGCGCAGGAGGCCGGATGGCCGGGTTTGGTGCCTGTGGCCGATGGCAGAGGGCCTGCCCGCCTGGGGCAGGAGCCCACTTTGCTTGGAGGAGGGGGGGAGAAGGCTCCATTTCTCTCCAGATGGAAGCAGGAGGATGAGCAGGTCTGGCGGAGGCCGGATGGCCGGGTTTGGTGCCTGCGGCCGACGGCAGAGGGCCTGCCCGCCTGGGGCAGGAGCCCACCTTCCTTGGAGGGGGGGAGAAGGCTCCATTTCTCTCCAGATGGAAGCAGGAGGATGAGCAGGTCTGGCAGATGGCCATCCTGGGAGAGGAACCAAGCAAATGCTCAGACCCAATGAGAGGAGGAGGAGGAGGAAGAAGGAAGAGCAGCCCCCCCTCCCAAGGATGAATTTTCCGCTGGCGCATCCTCCTTCATTTCTCACTTCTGGCCTCTGGCAGGCCGCCCAGAGATGCGTGAAGCCTGGCCTTTGGCTCGGCCCCTCCTTATAGGACTTGTGGCCATTTATGGAACAGCCATGGCAGGGTTTCAGACGTACCTGTTCCTTGAAGGGGGTGAGGCAGTGGCCTCATCTCTGTTTGGAGGGGGTGTCCCCAAGCCAGCCTCGGGCATTGCTTGGATGTAATTTCAAACTGACCCACCAAGCGGGCGCGGGAGGGTGGAGGGGAAGCCCCGGGGAAAGCGCTGGAGGGCCTGTTCCTCAAAAACGCAGGTCACCTCCTTCAAGGACACAGGGAGCCACTCTCCGGAGGGGTCCGGCTGGGAAGGAGGCTGATGGATGGAGACGACACCTCAGAGACCACGGACGACCAAACTCGGGGGCCAGAAACCCGTCAGGTTGAATCCACCCCTCCGGTGCGGAACCCACTCTGCTGCTGTTCGGGGTGCCCCCCCGTCTCGAGACCACTGGGTTTTCTGACCCCAGGGCTCCCTGCCAGGTTGGCGAACAGAGGGGTGAGGGTTTCCTCTGGCAGGATCCGCTCCTTCGTCTCCTCCACAGATATTCTGCTCCCAGAATGACTTCTCAGAAGTAATACATTCCCCAAATCTATCTTTCCTTCTTCCTTCCTTCCTTTCTTTCCATCATCAGCTCCTTCTTTTTTCCCTTCCTTCTATCCATCAACAACTTCCTTCCTTCTATCCATCATCAACTCCTTCCTTCCTTCTTTCCTTCCTTCTATCCATCATAACGTCCTTCCTTCTATCCTTCTATCCATCATCAGGTCCTTCCTTTCATCCATCATCAGCTCCCTCTTTCCTTCTTTCCTTCTATCCATCATCAATTCCTTCCTTCTATTCATCATCAGCTCCTTCCTTCATATCTCCCTCGGGGTGTGAGATTCTGGAGCGACCGCCTAAACTAAAGGAAGGAAAGCAACGCTCAAAGCTCTAAGGTCGTTTCTTTTGCAGCTTGTAAATAAATTCTGAAAATAATGGCACCCCACCCAAGGGAGGGGAGCCGTGTAAATGTGCCACCACTTCTCATCTCTGGCCCTGGGACAGGGAGACAGCGCCCTGCACTGCAACCCCGCTGCTAGACTGTTAGCATCTCAGCCTCTCCTTCCTCCGCACCAGATCGCGGACAACCTCCTCCTCCTGCCTTCCTGGCCGTGTGGCAAAATGAGCCACCTCTTGAGCAGAAAGGTGCGGTATAAATATTTTAAACAAATGACAAAAATTAAACAGGATTCAACTCAGCACCAAGGGGGGAGGGGAGATATTTTTACGTCACAAACGTACTGTGTGTCTCTTGCGGTCTCAGACAGATATGGACCGGATGGAAGCTGCTTTCCTAAAAATGCCCAGAGGGCCCCAGATGATGGGGAGGTGGCACCAAAGGGTCTGATCCTGCACTAGATGCAGTGCAGCCATTTGTGAACCTCGGAGTTTCTCACCTACACCAGAAACAGGAGTCATGGCCAGGACCTTACTGCTTAGAAATGGAGGGCAGGGGAAAAGGATTTAAATGCCGTCTGAAGGAGAATTGTGAGAGTCCATGCTTTCTCCACCCACCTTAACGTTTGGTGGAAGAAAGGTCTCTCTAAAATTCAGACTGATAATAATAATAAAGCCTTATCCTATATATAAGGCACGGAACACTCAATGGAAGGGTAACAGTGTCGTCATTCTAGCTTAATCATGGTAAAAAACTTGGGCGTCTTTGGGTATCTTGTATAAAAACAGCCTTGATCTCACCTTACAAAACAGGCCAGCTGTCCCATTTTGCTGAAGTTTCAAAAAATAAAAAATGCAGAAAACACACACAAAACCCTGGCTGGCTGAACTGTTTCAGAAGCGAAGCCTCACAGCTTCAATTTCAGAAGGGAAATCAAACCAAACAGATTTAAAGAGAAAAAAATATGCCTGCAACCGGGACATTTCTGATGTGCAAAGCCATTATTCTTTTTTAAAATCTATTGAGCGGTTGGCTGGATGGGAGAGGTTCATAATACATACAGGGCTTCGTTGCCTATCCAGACCCCAGCTGTGTGGTTTTTTATATATATATATAATAGATTGCTCAAATAAGACTTCTTTGTCTGGTGCAAAAGGGCCATGGCAGAACAGTAACGAGACCAGCAGAATCAGTGTTACTCCAAATAATAATAATAACACTAATTCCATTTCCTTCAAAGACACTCATGGTTTCCACCCTGAACACATGCGATCTCTCCCGCTTCAAAAACAAGGCTGAGCCTGATTAATGACGGGAATGGAATGACCCACAGCTCTAAATTCAAAATTAAAACCCGCATCCCCTGCCTTCCACCCTAATCCAGCTAAAGAATATTTCCAGCAAAGTGTACGGTAGCCATTCTCTAGTAGGGCCCTCCAGATGTGTTACTACCGACCTCCATCATGCCCGGACAGCATGATGGGTGCTGTAATTCAATGCCTCCTTTCTATCAAACAGGGAGAGAAAAGGCAGGCAGAATTCACAGCTGGTTCACGCCGAACCCTTAAGGGTGTCTTCATGAGACACACACTCTGCTCGTATTTTTCTGCCAAAGTTGGGCACAGAACAGGTGAGCAGCAGGTTCCGCTGCCAACAGAGAGCAATTTGCATTTTAAACTGTATTCTCAGAGTAACTGTTAACTATCTTAAAAATCATACCGCGTGCAGCGTTCTCTGGAGTTTGTCACGGCGAATTCTCAAAACCCTGCGCTGGCCGAGGAAACCGGACTGTTACGACTATCTTGTTCCACTGGAAATACTCAAATAATTAAAGGAAAAAAGATTATATTCTCATGTAATGTTATCAGTTTTCTTTACTAACCACCTCACAAAGGGATCCGTCCAGGCTGGCTTTCAGAGGGGGAGCCTCGGAGGAAAGAGGGGAAAATGACATTACCCCCCCCCCATGGTCAAAATAAAGCCTCCACGTGCAGATACAGTGTATCTCTTCAAGCACCAGCTGCTAAGAAGCAAAGGAGGACCTGGCTGGAACGGTGCCTCTGGGACCCCCATAAGAAAGAATTCAGCATCCCACTCCTCATTTAATAGCCCCCTTCTCAGTATATAGCCTTTTCAAAGGCTGAATTTACACCCCCAAGAGCTTTTACACTTAATCTGCACCACCACCAGCAGCTTGAGTGACCACTTTTTCAGCTAACAAGAATGAGGTGAGATGACAGAAGCGTACTGCTGCAGGAAGCCTCGGCCACTGTCGGATCTCCCCACCCCTGCTGAAGGCAAGGAAACCTTTCATACATTTATTTATTTGTTCAGCACATCCTTATAACCCAGTGTGCTAGGAACATTGCAGCACAGAACGGTACAGCTGCTTCCTAATAAAATTGGTCCGGACTGATAAAACCAAAGTGAAATTCTGGAGGGAGAAATCTCCTTTTTTTAGGGGGGGGGGAAGAGAGAGAGAGAGAGACAGACTGTTTTAGAAAGCCACCCCCGGAAGGCCACTGATGCTTTTGACACCCTAGCTTCCCCTCTTCCAAAACAGAGGAATTAAAAACCTGAGCGCTGTGGCTTTGACCAACAAGCCTCGGTTTTAAAAAAAAGGCAGAGTGAAGAGCCTCTGGTGGATCTGAACAGACTCATTTAATTTTGCCAATCCCTGATGAACCTGGAGAAGAACCGAACGGACAAGTATAAAAACATTTTTTAAAAATACAAACACATTCATTACACCATTAAAAACAAAAAAAACCACCCATTTCTGCTACCACATATAAAACTGTTCTCGAGAACGGCTCCTGCACGAGAAAGTGCGGAAGATTCCGTTTAAGGAGAAAGAGAGAGACACGATTTTGCAAGCTTCCGGTTGGAATTCTTTTCCCCCGAAAGTTCAACAGCTACTAAACAACCCTCGAAAATGCAGCGAAGGGTGTCTGGCATCTCTTGCCAGCTCAGCACAACACAAGAGGGACTCCCGGCTGTTCCTCTTTCAAAGAACTCTGTGGTCTCTGTGGTCTTTCCCTCGAAGTTGTGATTAACTGTGTCTTTTGCAACACACACGATGAGGACATCCAACGTTGCGCCTTCCTGACTGCCCCCATTCCCCTCAGGGACCACAGCCAGGAATATTTTCTAAACACTGATTTTTTTTTCTCCAGGCCTTGGCACCAGGAGTCCAGTGGCAGATTGTTCCACGTGCCAAACCAATACCCACCCTTGTTCAGACCATCCTTCTGATGGAAGGGGAGAAAATCCCACATCACAGAAAACACCAAAACTACACAACCAAGGCTTGTCTTGATGGACTCAACACAGTGTGTGTGTCAGGGTGGGTGGGGGGTGGGAGAGAATCTCATCGATTCACAGGATCTGATGCCAGTCACGCCAAGCCCCGAGTGGGATGGCAGCCTCGAAGGAGAGATCATCCACAGAGCCCCTCGATCACGGGCCCGTTCGGATGTCCGCCGGGCGCAGCTGCCGCTCCCCCTCGGCCAAAAAGATCTGCATCGCCCGGTGCAGCAGGTGGACACCGAGGCAACGTCGCCTCTTCATGGGCCAGCCGGCCACGACACCGTAGTAATTCCCTTTCTTCTGATTCGTCAGCATCCTCAGCCCTGGGGGGAAGGGAAAGAGGGGAGAATTAAAAGCCTCTTTGTTCAAGGTGATGGGCTCAGGGGCCGGAGAGGAGCGAGCCACTGGCAGCTGACCTCAGACCAACCAGATGGCTGTCCTACCACCTCTTGGTCTTCTCTAACACACCCTATTTTCTCAGAGGTCGTGATTTCTACACCCTCTGCTCTATCGGATGGCTTCCTCCAGACCAGTGCCAGGTGGTCCGCAGCCTTCTTAAACTGGGGCTCCCGAAGCCAGACCCAGAGGCCCAGGGTCCTGTGACAGCTCGGGACCAGAGACACAGCCCCCAAGGGCTCATGTCGCTTGCGTTCATCCATGACTTTGTCCTTTGCCCTACGGACGGGCCTTGCTGAAATCTGGCTGGAACGCCCGGAAGTCTGTGGGCGGGAGGAAGAGAGACGGAGAAGAAGCCTTCCCCCTTCAGGCTGGCCTTACCGATGGCGTCAACCATGCAGGCCTCCCTGGTGTAGGCTTCCACTGGGATGACGTTCTGGAAGCAGTGCATGGAGACCACCCCTTGCGCACTGGCCCAGATCTCCAGAATGTGCCGGACTTTGGAACACACCTGTGGGAGATGAGAGGGGAGTGAGTAAAAAGGGGCAACCTTGGAGAGAGAGAGAGAGAGAGAGAGAGAAATGGCTTCACAGCCTCCGTACTCGTTTCTCTTGGCTTTTCCCTTTGTAGTGATTCAAGGCTTCGTAGAGGTGGCTGTAAGGCCGGGAACGTTTTCCCTTCCCAACGTAGAAGATGGCGCTGACGAAGGTCCGAAAACATTCCGCCTGGCTGAGAAACTGGGAGCGGAAGGGCAGGTTCTGGGTCACCCTGTCCAAAAAGAAAGAAAGAAAAAATATTAATATATGGAAGGCCAAGGAGACAACCAGGCAAGGAAGGGGAAAAAGGAAGGGTCTGGGACAGTCAGAGGAGGAGGAATTCTGCAGAAGGGCTTTGCCCGCCTCAATGCGGGGTGTGTGTCTGCATCTCACACCAGCGCCCTTCTCCGGCTCCTAAGAGATACCCCACCTTTAGGCTTCCCTACCTGGGGTCCAGCAACAGGTAGTTGAAGCTGGATTTCAACAGCCCTTCCCTCCACTTCTTGCTTTTGTCCGGCTGGTCAAACTGTCCGGCCAGAGCCATCTCGTCCCTTTTGCCGTCAGGAATCTGGTAGGTCTCTAGAGCGGACGAAAGCTCTGGGCTGTAGCCTAAGTGTGGGGAAAAGAAAGCAAGAACGAACGTGCCAAGCTCCACCCTTGAGAAGACACTCAGAGGGGGACCATGCGGCTGAGAAAAAGGTCTGTGGACTGGGCGTGTGTCTGCATTTATATTAAAACAGGCCTGAGTTCCCCATTTTTGTAAATCTGAACTTTGTTACTCAGCTAACCTCTGTGTTTAGGGGTCCTGAGTGGTGGTGGGAGAGCGGTGTCCCTTCGCAAGCGGGCTGCCTAGTGAAATCAAAAAGCCGAAGTAAACCACAGCCTCGGAGGAGAGTCCTGTAGGCTGACCGAGCCGATGCCCTGCTCAATGCCGGAGTCCGAGAGTTCATCTACCTGCTACGGGGACCCGGATCCACTGCTGAGCTTTACTCTTACAAGTACACTGTTCCTCTCAAAGTTAATTTTTTGTAAACCATTTGTTTTCCTGTGATTTAAGCCTGGTTACAGTCCCCTCTCCCCTTCCAGGTCACCAACCCACCTGAAGTGGCTTTCCGGGCCTTCGTCTTTGGGTCGCTCATCAGCTTCTCCAGCAGCTGCACGTAAAGCTTTCTCGTGAGCCCGGTCACAGGCCCCGGGTTGACGCCGAGGTCCCGCAGCTTGCGGACCAGAGCCTCGTCCGAAAGGCGGCCGGCCTCAGAGGCGGCTCGTGGGGGACTCGACCCTTGGCGGGCTGGTCTCGCCGCCTGGCCTATGTAGGCCCGCCAGTCATAAATGATGGTGTCTTCTGAGCCAGCAGTGGTATCGGCCAGGGAATCATCCATGCAAGGGACGTGTCGCTCAACGAGGGAGTGTCCTTGGTCGTCGTCTACATACAAGTACTCCACCGGCTTGGCAGTGCTCACGTGGATGGGCCGCCCACCTGGGGACAGAGAGACTGCCTGAACGACAGGGCTCCGCCTGCTGGGCTGACCGGTGGACACCGCTGGCAGGCAAGGCAACCCTCCGGCAGACAGCCTGCTGAAGCTCACCCTCGAAGGTCTGGGCGGCCCCTTGGCTTTACCCCCTCGGACCGCCGGCCACTCAGGATCCGTCCAAGAAGGGGCGGCAGCTACCCTTTCCAGAGAGGTGCAACCCTCCTCTCTGCTCAGAGGCGACAGCTCCTTTTCCTCTGCAGGAGACTTCGGGTCCAAATCTGCAAAGCAACCCACGCCGGCATTGGCCTCCGGCTGGAAGCAGGAGCTTCTGCCAGCATCTGTCAGCAGAGCTGGGCTGGCAAGGAGACCGGAGGGGCCCGATCCTGGCTGAGGGCTGCTGGGGCTGGCGAAGACGAATGGCGCATTTTCCCGCTCACCCATCTCTTTTCTTGGAGGGTCAGTCCCGTTTAGGACAGCAGCCCCACGTGGCGTTTGGCCGGTGCTCAGAGCTTTCGCCTCGGGGCTCCTCACCCGCGGTGGACGCCTCGGCATCTCCAGGGTCTCCTCGAAGAGAGAGGAAGAGCCACTGCTGTCCAGTGTGGCCAAAGTGGTTGTCTGGACTGTGACGTGGCAGGGACCGCCGTTCGACTGGACCAGGGGTAAGTGGCGGATTTTGGTTGCCAGCATCATCGCCCGCAACTTGGCCTCCAGGCTGGAGGGCTCTTCTCCCGCATCGCTTGCTGGCTGATCTAAGATGGGTATGGTAGGTCCTGCGTCCTCACTCGGTCCGGGCAAGACGGTACTCCCGCAACTGGGGGAAGCGTTTGTGTCTCCAGACGGCCTCTGGATGAGCCCTGTGTCCTGAGCCCACAGAGTCTTCTCCAACACGATCTGGGTGCTCATGGAGACACCACCTGACTCGGCCTCTCCCTTCTTCTCCTCACCCAAGGCTGCCCACCCGTCGGGCACCGTCCTTCTCCCATCTTCCCCTCGTGGTTTCTCAGCAGCGACTCCCTCGCCTCTTGGCAAAGGGGGACCTTCTGGAAGGTCCTCGCTCTCAGCTTGCGGTGTTGTGCGATCCTGAAATGGCCTTGTGTTCAGGTCCCCATTTCCCTCCTTTTGTGAAGCAGACCGTGAGTGTGCCTTGTCTTGAGAGAGGGGGGAGGGACCCCCCTCGCTCACACTTCCCTGGGACCGAGAATCTAGGGACTCCTTCTTAGGGTTTGGCCCAGAAGATGCTTCTCTATCACAGGTGCCTCTCTGCAAGGGCCCCACGTCTTCAGATTCATCGAGAGAGAAAAGAGGGGGCGACGCTGCTGCTTCACAACACAAACCACGGCACAACAGCCCTAGCAAAGGGGTGCCGGAACAGTCTGCCAAACGGGCAAAGCTGGCTTTCTGCTCCCCAGATTTGTGAGCCTGGTTGTAGCTGGAAGTATCTGTGCCGCTCACGTGACACTCGCTGTGGCAGGAAGCGTACAGACTGAGGCCACCTCCATCCGAGCCCCGGCCACACGGCTCCGCTGCCTCAGAGCACCCACCCTGCTCTCTGCCAGGCTGAAACGCTGGAGCAACCAGAGTCTTCTCCAGGTCGGACACAGGTACGGGGTTGGCCCGGGAGAAGAGGTAGACGTGGTCAGGAGAGGTGACATCCAGCCCCTCCTGGTGACCGAGCTTGACCACAAGATCTGGGTCAAGGAAACTGCTGTACTGCGTCAGGTTGAGGGTGGCATCGGCGTCCCGCCTCTCAGAATCAGTTTTGCATTCAGGGTCCTCCGTGCAAGCCAGAGGGAGCTTGGGGATCTCCTGGGATCCGGGAGCGCTTGGGATTTCAGGGTTCGCTCCAGGTGGACAAGACTCAGAGCGGCTCAAGGTGGCTTGGAGAGGGACGCCACTGGGATCCGAGGATAAACCACCTTGTTCATCTATAGAGTTTTCTACAGAACAAGAGCGTCTTGTCTCAACAGATGCCTCCTCCACCCTGCGCGCTGGTAGCTTGGTGCCCTGGACCGCATTTCCCACAGAACCCTCCGAAGCTTGCTTCCCCACGGAGGAAACGGGAGGGTCTCTCGGAGGTGCCAAGTGAGGGGGGAGGCCCCCCGGCTCATGCCAGGTCATGTCTTGCCAGGAACACTCGGTCAGAAAAGACGAAAGGGGCCAGTCCTCCAAAGAAGCAGGTTTATCCAGGCCATTCTCTGAGGTGCCCCCCCTCTCAGAAGTGGCAGCAACGGAGGGAAAGAAACAGCTCTGCGGTCCGAGGGGGTGAACCATCTCGCGCTCTGGGGTTCTGCCAAATGGGACAGAAGGTCCATAAAACTCCGAAGCCCCTCCAGCCTCCCACGTGTCTTCAGTCACCGTGGAGAGAAAGCTTTCTGCTCTTCGCTGGGCTGAACAAAAGACAAAACAGAAGGGCAGGGGAGCGGTAATTAAAACCATTGGCAAAGGTAGGCAGAGGGTTTCACAGCTTTGGGGTCCTTTTTCCCCCCTGTGGGAGAGCACACCTCCTTCAGAACTCTTACACATCCAGCTGCTCGGTTCTTCCTCCATTTCTGCCAGGATGCCACACAGCGTCTGGACACACGCCTCGTTCCTGTGCTTCTGAGCCAGATCGAGAACCGTGTTCCCTTCCTGAGAGACAAAGACAGAAGAGAAAGGACCGGGAGTCCCACAACAATCCTCCTCCAAAACCTACTATCAGGGATGCGGTGTCCGCAGATTCCATCACAAGGAATCTCAGCCTGTTGTAGAAAAGTGCCACCTTGTGTTTTGAGATGGTAACTTCGAGAATCCGCCGGGGAGCCAAAAAACCCCCAAGAAAACAACAACAACAAGAAACCCCATACAAACCCATACACCTCTGGCTGGCTTCCAGCGGGTACGAACTCGCTTTTCTCTTCTGCTCATAAACCCCAGAGCCGTAAGCCCAGCTGAGGAAAGAGATCCGGAGCCATCTCACAAAGGCTGCGATCTGTCCTTGGGAAGGGGATCTACTTCCAGAAGGACAAGAAGGAGCCTGGAGCTAACTCAGAGGCACTCAGTCCACCTCGCAGGCTCACATCCCCAACTCCCCCGAACGCGCAAGAGAAAAAGCAGCCTATAAAACGAGGAGGAAGCTTTTGTGCCGGAGAGCAACTGAACTGATGGAACAGAAGCTCCTTCCTGGGGAAAAGCAGCAGCCAAGGAAAGAAGGGAATGGAGACTTTTCCCCACGGCCCCAGTGCCAATCTCCCAGCAACGCAAACTTTCGGACCCACCTGGTCTTCAAGCCAGGGGTTCCCTCCTTCCATCAACAAGAGCCTTAAGCGGGTGTCGTGACCCCAGGAGGCTGCGACATGCAAGGGGGTGAGACCGTCGACGGACCTGAGAGGCAAAAAGTCAGGGAGGGTGGGGGGGAAAAAACACACACACCTTATTCTTCCTCATTCTCTACACGGTTTATGGGCATAAAATACAAACCCACACTTGAAACACAATGTTTCCTGTAACTTCCCAACAAGGAGAAGGTGGACAGTGCCTGATTTGGCTGATTTCCCCTGACCCTTTCAGAAATGCTGGGCCCTGACTCTTGCCTCTCGGCAGGGCAGCCTGGGAATGATGGGAGTTGTAGTCCCACGCCTCTGAACCTGACTTTTACTTTATCTATTTCTCTATTTGATTATTATTTTATTTATTCAATTGATAAACCGTCCATCTGGCCGAAAGCTACTCTGGGTGGTTTATGGCATAAAACAATAATAGATGTTTTAATAAAGAGACTATTTTAAAAAAACACTACAGAAATAATCAAATTAAAATACATTCTACAGTAGTTTAAATAACAACTAAAACATTTGAATTGGTGGTAATCTTATGGTATTTCTGCGGTAGAGGGATTTGAGACTGTTTTAGGACAAGAATTAGAAGAGATGCTGCTAAAATGGTAACGCAATATCTTCTGGCAGAAAGGCAGGGTGGAAATGTGTTAAATAAACAAGCAAACAAGTAAATATGGAAACGGAACAAAACAAAGTGTCACACTCTAACAGATAAACATGTTAAATAAATAGGCAAATGAAGCTAAGTAAGTTATTGTAATGTACAAAATTAGAAAATACCTTCTTGAAAGGCAGTGAAAGAGGCAAAGGTGTGTCTGGATTAAAAAAGGTCCCTTCCTAGCGCAGTTTCACTTGGAAGGGAGTCTTGCAGCCTGGGAAAATATGCTCTCTCTCTCTCTCTCTCTCTCTCTCACACACACACACACACACACACACACACTTTCAGAAAGAGAACCATCCATTGCCTTACTTGACGTTGGGGTCTCCACCGTACTGGAGGATGCGGGCGAGGCAACGGATCCCGCTCACTTGCTCCGTGCCGGCTGCCAGGTGGATGGCGGCGATCCCCCCGGACAGCACCCGGTTGGGGTCAGCACCCTGCCGGAGGAGGGTTTCCACCATCCTGAGAAAACCAGCAACATCCAAGAAAAAAAAGGGGAGCGAAAAGAGAAACTGTTAAAAAAAAAGGAAAACAAGCCCAACGAGGCAAGAAAAACAGGCTTCTCAAGACAAATCCTGTTATTTCTGCAGTAGGGACAGTGGAATACAGATCTGACAAGTGGGGATGATGGGAGCTGTGGTTTGTGTGTGTATTACACATGTCTTGCTGTTACTATTTCCCTGGTGCCTTTAAGTTAGCCTTGATACATTCTCGTCATTTCCTGGGCGATGATGACCAGAGATAGACACACACAAAAGACTTATTCGTGGTCCTACAGCTTTCACGTGGTGCATTTCGAGGCTCCAGTCTGTCTATGATCATGTTCAGGTTGGGAAGGGGTTTATCCGTCATCATTTACTGCAATTGTTCCTTCCTCTGTGTATCCGGTTTCTGGCTCTGAGGCTGGACAGACTCTGAGGTCCTTCTAAGGGTAACTGGATATTAGATGTGGCCCTTACCAGATCTGGAGGCAAAAACAACAACAAAAAACCCAAAAACCCAGACTTTTCACAGCAACCGTGTCTCCTGAAGGTTGACTTTCTGTCATGCTGGCTTCGGGGTTTATGCTCTGAAGCTTAGGGATGAGAAATAAAGAGAAATACGTGGGGTACATAACAGAAATGAAAAAGGGGTTCTATATATTTTTCTATCCGTGACGGGTTTTCTCACTCTTCAGCTTCTTCCTTTGAAAGAGCGGACATTTTGTCTGCAAGGAGCATTTACAGCTTTAAGCTTCGCTTTCGGATGAGAATTTCTTTGGCAAAATAGAGATTACAAGGAAGTCTGCATTTGAAGTGAAGGAAGCACAAAGGAGGAACCTCAGAAACAGCTATCTTTCCTAGCTGGCACCCCTTTGGTTTGGAAGACTACATCTCCCATCATCCCACTTGCAAGGTATTTTTCAGGGGAGGGGACGGTAACTGCAGACATGTGGAAACTGCACAGCTGGGGAGGGGAGGGTGTGAGTTATGGACAAAACAAATTAACTGCAGAAAAAAACATCCATTCCTAATAATCACTATCAACCTCTTAGAACTGCAATTGCAACATTGCAATTTATTTTGCAAAAAAAATGAGAGAAAAATACTGCAATATAAAAAAGAGGAAAAGAAGAAAAAATTGCTGCCAAGAGCTTCAGAACACGTGTCTGCAGGCTTTCACACGTGTCACTTACGCGTCTTCCCCGCCCTGCAGTGCCTCGCATAGCTTGGTTTCGAGCTGCAGGGCGCCCGACACCATTTTGCCACGAGAGGGCGCCCGCGGGGACGAAGGAGCACCCCTGCGCATGCTCACGTGGACCAAGCATGCGCACATCCTTCGGAGCCTCGCGCAGGCGCACTTCCCTCTCCGCGCTCAGAGGCCTTCTCCTCCATCCCCGCGCGGCGAGGGAAGAGGCTCGTGGGGGCC